CGCTGGGATTGAGGCAGCTCAGTCTGCCCCTGTAACCCTGCTTCCCCCCTGTCCCCCCTTTTCCCCTCAGGACCAGGTCTCGAAGGATAAGGCTCTGCAGAGCATGGCTTCCATGTCCTCGGCGCAGATTGTGTCAGCCAGCGTCCTGCAGAACAAGCTCAGCCCCCCTCCTCCTCTTCCTCAGGCCGTCTTCTCTGCTGCCCCCAGGGTGAGGACAGCCCCACGCCCCCCAGACGGGGACAGCCCGGGGTGGGGGGGACACCATGAGCCACCCATGGGGTAGGGGGATGTTCAACAGCCTTTCTCAGCCCTGGTGGCAATGCAGGGCTCCCTGCTGTTTGCAGCAGGTGAGGAGGGAAGTGTTGGGAGTGGGGAGAGTCAGAAGCCACTGACTCTTCCCTGTGCTGTTTTCCCAGTTTTGGAGTGGGCCTATCCCAGGACAGCCTGGACCCTCTCAGGAGTAAGTACAGACCCCTCCACACCTGGCACCAGCAGGACCCCGCCTTGGCAAGGGGCTGGGGCATCCCGGGCTTGGTAACCTGATGATGCTTTTTCCTTTCCAGCATTAAACCGTTTGCACAACCAGCTTACCCCATCCAGCCACCCATGCCTCCATCACTAGCCAGTAAGTCATGTCCTTACCCCCTTGGAGGGAACCCAGTGTCCCTGCCAGAGTTTGTCCTCTGCCCCCTCCCACGCACAGTGCCACCCACCTGTGTCTCCTCCCCAGCTCTACCGGGGGAAAATCCTGAGTTGAAACCCAGCAAAAAGCTCCCCAGTGAGCAGGACCCTCCAGTCCCTTCCCACCCAGTACACCCCACGTTTTGCCCACCCTGTGCTGGGAGGGAGGTGGATATGGCAGGTGGGGGCTGCCGTGGAGACAGCAGCACCGCAGGGGGGGCTCACCCCGGCTCCTGGCTGTCCCTCCACCCCCGTGTCACTCCCCCTGGCCCAGGTTACGAGCCCTTGGCTCCGCTCCCGCCAGCTGCCTCGGCCGTGCCGGTCTGGCAGGACCGCACCATCGCCTCCGCCAAGCTCCGGCTCCTCGAGTACTCCGCCTTCATGGAGGTGCCCCGGGATGCTGAAACGGTAAAAAATCCCCTCCGTGTGCCCACCACCCGCCTGGTGGCCCATCCCTCCCCGTGCCTGGTGGCAGCTTGCTCCTGCCTGACGTGTCCTGCTGCTGTCCCCACCCCGCTCCCTACAGTACAGCAAACACCTCTTCGTGCACATCGGCCAGACGAACCCCTCGTACAGCGACCCCCTGCTGGAGGCCGTGGACATCCGCCAGATCTACGACAAGTTTCCCGAGAAGAAAGGCGGCCTCAAGGAGCTCTATGAGCGTGGGCCCCAGAACTCCTTCTTTCTCGTCAAGTTTTGGGTATATATATATATATATATTTTTGGATGTAACCCTCCTCCTGCTGGGAGGGTTAGGGTGGGGAGGGTCGTGCTCGAGCTACAGGCTCATTGAGGGTCAGGGGCTCTGCTGGCAGAGCTGGAGCATCCTGGGCAGCTCTGAAAGCTGGTGTCCCTCGTCCCCATGGGGAGCTGGGTGTGGTGGTGCCTCATGGGACCCTCTGTCCCTCTGCTCTCTTCAGGCGGATCTGAACAGCACGATCCAGGACGGGCCAGGGACCTTCTATGGTGTCAGCAGCCAGTACAGCAGTGCAGAGAACATGACCATCACAGTCTCCACCAAGGTGTGCTCCTTTGGGAAGCAGGTCGTGGAGAAGGTGGAGGTGAGTTCCCTGTCCCGCTGCATCGGGAACGGGTCGGAGTTGGTCCACGGCGGGTCCTGGGATGGAGAAAATCCCAGAGCTGGGTGTAGGACACATGGGTGCCTGTACCATGTTTATGGGTGGAGTGGGGAGGACATTGCCATGTCCCAGCTGGGCACCACCAGGCAGGGGACAGCTGCTCACCCTGGCTGTCCCCCGCAGACGGAGTACGCGCGGCTGGAGAACGGCCGCTTCGTCTACCGCATCCACCGCTCTCCCATGTGCGAGTACATGATCAACTTCATCCACAAACTCAAGCACCTCCCAGAGAAGTACATGATGAACAGTGTCCTGGAGAATTTCACCATCCTGCAGGTATACCTCCCCTCCTTTTCCAGGGGCTGTGTCCCACCAGGAGTGTGGAGCCCACACTTGGATCGACCCCGCTGGCCCCGCACAGACCTGGCTGTGCCTGGGCCCACACAGACCCTGAATTCCAGGGAGCAGATCTTGGTGGTGCAAACAAAGTGGCTGTGCCCAAGCCTGGACAAGTCTACCAGATAATAGGGAGCAAAATTTTCATGGTGCAATTAAATTGGCTGTGCCTGAGTTTGTTTGACTTCACCAAATAACCTGTAGCAGTTTTTGGTGGTGCAAATGCAGTGGCTGGGCCTGAGCCAATTCAACCTCCCCCAAACAAATTTTTGGTGGTGCAGTTCGGGCTGTTCCTGAGCCTGTGCAACATCCCCAAAACCGGGTAGTAAATCTTGACTGTGCAATTAAATTGGCTGTGCTACTGCCTGTGTGACCCCACAAATAACGGGTAGCAAATGTTTTCGTGGTGCAAAGCGGCTGTGCCTGAGCCCAAAATCTGCAACCCCCCCAGATAGCAGCACCTGCCCACGGGCACAGCACTCCCCTAACACGCTCTGCTCTGCTGCAGGTTGTTACCAACAGGGATACCCAGGAAACCTTGCTCTGCATTGCCTTCGTTTTCGAGGTGTCCACCAGCGAGCACGGCGCCCAGCACCACGTGTACAAGTTGGTCAAGGACTAGGGGCCCTTGGGGACAGGCAGGGGCACGAGGGGCCTGCAGGGGAGGGAGGGGGCCCTGCAGAAAAGCCACCCGTGCCTGTTTGCCTTGTGAGAAGTCATTTGAAGACAGGAGGAGGAAGAAAAACAATAGCCAAAAAAGACTGACTTGTGATGATCGCAGATGTTTTCTACTTAGGAACAGTTTCTTTTTTTTTTTCTTTTTTTCTTTTTTTTTTTTTTCTTTTTTTCTTTTTTTTTTTTTTCTTTTTTTCTTTTTTTTTTTTTTCTTTTTTTCTTTTTTTTTTTTTTTTTTTAAAAAAAAAAAAAAAAAAAGGAAAAAGAAAAGAAGAATGGGAAAGGAAGTGTAGGGAGAAAGGAAGCCCACATCTGGTGCTGGAGGGGGAGAGAGCAGCCCTCGGTGTTGCTGATGGAGGCCAGGATCCCAGCGTGCCAGCAGCAGGACGAGGAGCAGAGGAGGAGCCCTCCTTCCAGCCCAGCCTGGCTCAGGAGTGGTCCTGAGTGGAGAGGAGAGCAGCGAGCACTGACGGTCAGGAGGATGCAGCACCGTGCCAGGTCTGAAACTGATGGGCATGGCAGCGACAGCGGCACCGGCAGCGCCTGGCACAGCCCGGGGGGACGGGGGGACGGACGGGCAGGGTGGAGCAGGGGGACACTGCCACCCCCAGGGATGCTCCTTCTCCACGCCCTGGGAACCAGTGAAGGCATGAGGGCATTGACAATGCAAACCATGGGGGTTTATGGCTCCTTTTTTAACTTTTTTTTTTCTTCTTTTTAATGAAAGTGCTTTTTAATACTTTTTAAAAAGACACCATGCTTGTAATCAGGCTGACGGCCCTCTGCAGTGCCCAGGGGCTGCCCTCCCACCCTGCATGGGAAGTGTCTTGTTTAGGGAAAGGTTTGGGGTGCCTCCATCTCTGGCTGGGTTTTGTGGGGGATTCCTTGTGCTGTGTTCAGGAATTGCACTTGGGGCTGGCCCAGGCTCAGTGTCCCCACTGTGGCTTCTTGCTGGGGAGTCATGAGTACAGAGCAGTGAGGGCAGATTGCCTGATTTATTTTGTGTATGTACATTTTCCTTGTTTCTTTTTTTTTTTTTTTTTTTGTTCCTTCACCTTTTTTTGCCTTTTTTCTGCGATGACTGTTCCAAACTGCTCCAGCCACTCTCCTGCATCCTGCGGGAAGTGGCCAGGGAGGTGCAGGGAAAAACATTGAGCAATGCAGGGCCAAGAGTTTGGGACAGAAAGGACAGAGACAGAGAGGGGACAGAGACCAGGAGGGGAGCCAGGAGAAGGGACTGGGTCAGCTTGGAGGTATTTTTGTGGCTGCAGCCCAAAGTAAACCAAGGCAGAGTGCCCAGTCCTGAGGCTGCAACTGCAAGGGCAGAGTCTGGGGAAAGCAACCCCGGGCTGCAGGAGGGTCACAGAGGGACAGAGGTGGAGGGGAGCAGGGTGGCAGGAGGCTGGCAGGGGGACAGAGAGCCCGGGGTGGCCAGGTCTGGATGGGTTTCTCATGTTGGCAGGGGGAAGGAGGCAGGAGTGTTTTGAGGGGCACTGCGGCTGCTTTGGGAGGGGGACAGGGCAGGGTTAGGCTCAGTGCAGGGAGCAGGAACAGCCCCAGAGCTCAGGAAGGTGCCTTGGCTGCTGCCTTGATGCCACGTGTCCTGTGAGGCATGGGGACTTCGACCTCTTGCTGCTGGGAAAAGCCACCCATCCCTGAGGGAAGGAGCAGAGCCATCCCAGCCCCGGACCAGGCTCAGTGAGCAGGGCAGATGGAGCAGGGAGGGAAAGAGAGAGGGAAAAATCCAAGGCCAGGCACTGGCAAACCATGCCAGGGCTGTGCTGGGCCTCTCTGGCCAAGTTCTCATATGTAGCATGTTTGTTTGTTGTTTTGTAGGTTTTTGGGGTTTGTTTTTCTGTTTTTTTTTTTTTCCTTCTGTTTCACTCACTGATCTAAAACTCTGGGAATGAAAACTCAAAACTCCCCCACCATAAACCACAGGCGTGTGCCCACTCCCAGCCCTGCTGGGGGACGAAGCTCTTTGTTAACTGGACCGGTTTGTGCCTCCATCCCTCCCTCCCTCCTGCCTGCACCGAGCCCAGGGCTCACCCTGCACCCCACGCACACAGACTGCTGCCCCCAGCAGCCCTGGCTGGGGTTTAGTCATGATCCCAGAGACACTTTCTCAACTCCCCCAGCCCCTCCGTTCGCCTCCAGTGTATTTATGAATTTCACATGAAGTACTGTTTTATTTTTTTAAAGACTTTGTAAAGCTTACCAGGGTTACAATCACCATTTTTAGAGCTGCGTCAGTCCACAATGTTAAAAATCCATTTTTTTTTATGTATTATATTTTTTGTGTATTTTTTTAATCCAGCTGTGATGGGTTGTATCATATATTTGTTGTGTTTACTGTATCTGTCCAACTTCAAAGAGAGGAGACTGTGGAGCTCCGAGAAAACTACGGTCTGCTGAAAAAAAACCATTAAAATTATTTGTTCATGGGTTGGCTCAAGCACTTCTGAAGTTCATATTTTATTTCTTGGGATTTCCTTCGACAGTCAGGACTATGAGAGGTGCCATGTCCCATGTAACCCCTTGGCTGGGACCCCAATTCTGGGTACCAGGATGCTGCATCCTGCTGTGTTTTGCTCTAGTTTGCATCACTGCTGCAGGATTTGCTTGGGAAAAGTTGGGTTGGCCATGGCGGATGCTTCCCCGCGGCATCCCTGGGTTCAGGAACACTTTTAGGGGGTCGCACCCTCCACCACAGGGTGCCGGAGGGGATGCTCTGTCCCACCGCTCACCACCACCCCTCCAAGCCCTGCTCGCGGTGTCTCAGCTGTTGGTCACACACCCCATCCTCCACTCAGGGACACTCGTGTTTCACCAGCAGCCGCTTCCCCCGTCCTGCGAGCCACCCGCACCCCGCTATCCCCCCCGCACCCCATCCCTCCCCTTCCGCACCGCCGGCGCGCCCCGTTACACCCATCCCACCCCGTTACACCCACCACACCCGCCCGGGTTCCCTCCACCCTTCCCGGCCCCATTCACCCCCCCGGCCCCGGTCCCGGTCCTGCCCCTTCCGCCCCGCTCCGCTGCCTGCCGGGACGCGTAGTCCCGCGGCCCCGCGCCGCTCCCGGCCCGCCGCAGGTCCGCTCTCGGCCCCGCTGCTCTCGGCCCCGCTGCTCCCGGCCCCGCTGCTCCCGGTCCTGCTCCTCCCGGCCCCGCTGCTCCCGGTCGTGCTCCTCACGGTCCCGTTCCATCCGATCCCGCTGCTCTCGGTCCCGCTGCTCCCGGTCCTGCTCCTCCCGGTCCCGTTCCTCCCGATCCCGCTGCTCTCGGTCCCGCTGCTCCCGGTCCTGCTCCTCCCGGCTCCGTTCCTCCCGGCCCCGCTGCTCCCGGCCCCGCTCCGCCTGTTGCTCCGGTGCCCTCCCCGCTCCTCCTGCAGCTCCTCCGGTTCCCCGCTGCCGCCCCCGCTCGTCTTGCGGCTCCGCTCTTCCTGTAGCTCCGCTCCTCCTACTGCTCCGCTTGCCCGCTTGTCCCGCTCCCGTCCCCGCTCTCCTGTTTCCTGTGTCCCCGCTCTCCTGTGTCCCCGCTCTCCTGTCCCCGCTCCACCTGTTGCCGCTGTCCCGCTGCCGTCCCGCAGCCCTCGGGGAGCGGGGAGCGCCCCCGGGGGCTCGGCCTCGCTGGCAGCCGCCGGCATTAATTAACGCGGCTCAGGAACGGGATGAGCCCGCCGGGGAATCCCGCCGGGGCAGGCAGAGCTCGGCTGCCCGCACCGCTGTCCTGGAGCTCCGGGGCTGCTCTTTTTAGCTTCTAAACCGGAAATTAGACAATCGCACGGGGTCAGGCAGGGGGGAAGCGGAGCTGGCGGAGAGCTGGGGCTGCTCCGGAGCTGCTGGCTCCGCCGGGGTTTGGGGTCCCGAGAAGGATCCGTGGGCTTCCCGAGTGGGGAGGTGCGTGATTGTGTTCCGTGGCCGTGCATCGCAGCTCCACTTTGAACCCAGGATGAAAGTCCATCCTGGAGCACAACTCACTGACAAGGCAGAGGGCTTGAGCCCTGTAGCCCATCCCTGGCCCACCGGTGTCCCCAGCCACTGGATGTAGGGTCCCATGGGTGCTTTGGGTACATGGGTCCCTGTACGGGGACAGTTTAGGGTTCGGGGTGGTCCTTGTGTGCAGGAAAGGCCCTGGAGCACCCCAAGCATTTTTCCTTCCTTCCTTTGCCTCGGCTCAGCCCTTCCGCCTTCCCAGCCTGGCTCCTTGGCTCTGTCCTGCAGCCTGCACTGGCTCCCACTCCTGCCCGCTCCCTGCAGGTCCCCGCTCTGCCCGGCGCTGCCCACTGACCCCACAGAGCCGGGATGGAGGGAGAGCCCACCCTGCGCCTCCGTGTCTTCAACCTCAACTGCTGGTGAGTCCAGGCTTGGCCAGGTCCGTGCCAGGCTGTGTGTGGAGATAGGGGCACCACAATGGGGGGAGGGGTCCCACCTTGGGGTTAACTTTGTGGCCCCTTCATTTTGGGGTCACACCACTCTCTCTGCCCCAGAGGGTCATGAGGTGCTTGGCTGGGTAGTGCCTCCCGTCCCTTCCGTGCTTGTTAGCCCCAGAAAAACGCCCCATTTGCACCCCAAGCTGCCTCAATTCTGCAGGCAGGAGAAGCTGTCCCCAAACAGCCTCCCTGCATCTTGTCCCTATGTCCTCACACAGCCCTTTCCCCTTGCCATCTTTCCCATTTGCTTCTGCTGGTACTGGAGCCCTGTTTCTCTCCCTCATTTCGGGTCACAATGGCCCCAAGAGCCCTCATGACCCTGTCCCCACCAGGCTTTGACTGTCACCCTTCCCTGGCAGGGCCATCCGCTACCTGAGCAAGCGGCGGCAGCAGCGCGTCCGGCTCATCGGGGACACGCTGCGCCAGGAGGGCTTTGACCTGGTGCTGCTCCAGGAGGTGAGGGCAGTTGGAGCCAAGCGCCCATTCCCAGCCTGGGAGATGGGCATGACTGTTCTCAGCCTGTCCGTCTGTCCTCCAGGTGTGGAGCGAGCAGGACTACAGTGACCTGAAGGTGAAACTAGCAGGCTGTTATCCCTTCTCCCATTACTTCCGCAGGTGAGAAGGGCAAGGTCAGCCCCCCGGGGCTGTCTGTGGGGGATTGTCTGTGCAGAGATTGCTACAGGTCCTCTGTTGCTGTGGGACACCCCATGCCTGGGCAGTGGAGTGCCCACAGGAGCACACTGGGATCCGGGAACCTGGGGCTAGGGCGAGGCAGAGGTTTTGGGGTCTCCTCACTGTGCTTCTTCCCTCCACAGTGGGGTGATCGGCAGTGGCCTCTGCGTCTTCTCCAGGTTCCCCATTCTGGACACGCTCCTCTACCAGTACTCACTGAATGGGTACCCCTACATGGTAAGTGGGGTGGGGGGCACGTGGCACCATGGTGTCCATCCCCACAGAGCCTCGGTAGCCCTGACCTGCCCTTTTTCCCCTTGGGCAGCTCCAGCACGGGGACTGGTTCTGCGGCAAGTCCGTCGGTCTCGTCATTATGAAGATCTCAGGGATCATCTTCAACGTCTACGTCACCCACGTGAGCAACCCAGGGAGGAGCCCAGCATGGGGGGAACAATGGGGAGGAGGGGAATGAGTGGCCATACTCCTGTTTTACTGTTCCCTTGCTTTAACCCTGCTCTCCACCCTCTGCCCTGGACTATGCACTGATTTAATAAAATATTGCTTGGGGCAGGGACCCCTAACTTGGTTGTGCACTGGGGTGAGCATCCCATGCTCTCCCGAGTGGGGGTGAAATAAAGACAGAGGTGTTGGCAGGGGCTGTTTGGAGGGGTTGGGTGGGTTTGCAGGGAGCCTGGGAGCAGGGCAGGAGTCACAGCCCCTTTGCTTTCCCTCTCTCTCCAGCTGCACGCCGAGTACTGCCGGGACAAGGACGCCTACCTGCCCCACCGCCTGGTGCAGGCCTGGGAGCTGGCACAGTTCATCCGGTGAGCAGCCGTGGGGTGTCCCCCTGCAAGCCCCCAGGTCACCCCTGCCCCTGGGGCTTGCACTGCAGAGAGCTCCCATTTACACCAGTCCCAGTCAGGAATAAGGTGGAGCAGCACTGGGCAGGTCCCAGTCACTCCAGTCGGGTGCCAGGCAGGGCAGGCAAGGACAGCCACCCCTGTCCCCACAGACACACCTCAAAGGCAGCAGATGTGGTGCTGCTGGGAGGGGACCTGAACATGCACCCTGAAGATGTGGGCATCCGGCTGCTGCGTGGCTGGACGGGGCTGCAGGACGCCTTTGCTGAGGCCATGCACTTTGAGGTGAGCTGAGGGGCTGAGAGGGGTGCCAGGGCACACCAAGAGCCCCCAGCTCAGCCAGGCTCTTGTCTCAGGGCTGTAAGAACGGCTGCACCCTTGTCCCTGACAACTGCTTCACTGACAAGGCAGAGCTGCTGCCCTTCCCGCTGGGCATCCGCATTGACTACATCCTCTACAAGGTAACTACGCTGACTGCATCCTCTACAGGGTAACAGGAGTGTCTGCCCGCCAGCTGTGAGTGCTGGGGGTGAGGCACTGCTGTGACCCCCTTGTCCCCTCCCCCAGGCCATCTCCAGCTTCACGGTGAAGTGTGAAGAGCTGAAGACCACCACGGGGCGAGCCCCAGGCGTGGACATCCCCTTCTCAGACCATGAAGCTGTGATGGCAACACTGCACATCCAGAGGCAGGGACAGCCTGCAGGTGCCACCCTCGGCACAGCTGGTGAGTCAGGGGGCTGCTGCCAGCATCTGCTGTGTGCTGGGGGCTGGTGGAGTTGGATGGAGCTCTTTGGGGATGTTGTGGTGCTGCTTGTGGAGGGCTGCAGAGCACTGGGGATGGGGAGAAGGGTATTGGGGTGCTATGAGGGGGTGTAGGGATGGTACGTGGGGGTCCCACCCTGCTGAGGGCCGCTGTCCCCACAGACCTGGCACTGGCAGACGTGGTGACAGAGGCACGGACAGAGGTGGGCGTGGGGCTGCAGGCGGCGCGGCGGCAGCGCTACTCCTCGGGCAGGATGGCCGTGCTGGCCCTGCTGCTGCTGCTGCTCCAGGCTGCAGCTGCACTGGCCACACTGGCTGGACTGGGCACAGAGCAGCCCTTCCCCAAGCTCTCCTTCTGCCTGCTGGCCTTCCTCGCCCTTGGCGTCCTCGTCCTCACCACCGGCCTGCACCTGTTCCACACCATGGAGGTGAAGATGCTGCACGGCACCGAGGACCAGATGTGGATGGTGCTGCGGGCCCTGCAGGAGCGTCCCAGTGAAGGCTGAGCTGAGGCTCTGGGTGTCCCACAGTGTCCCCTTGCCCACACCACGTCCCCTTTTTCATCCTTGTTTTTAGCTGACTTCAGGTCTTAGTCGAGCAGCACTGCAGCCAATGCAGTAGTGCAGATTTGGCAGCTGCCTCTGGGTGAAATGAAGGTTTTTGGGGTAGATTTATTGCATTGACCCCTGTGAGAACCACAATGGAGGCATATTTTTATTGATGTCTTTTTAAATACACTCTTTTGTACATGGAGGGACCCACTGGCCTGGCTGGAAGGCTTGAGACACTGAGGCTCCCCTTGCCTGGGGTGGCCTCAAAGTTTACACTGGTGGCTGTTCTGGCAACCAGTCCTGACTGATGGAAAATAAAGGCAATATTTTAATCTTTGGCACCCGGTCAGGGGGGCTTTATTTGAAGGGAGGGGGTTTGCAGCAGGGTTGTAGGGCTGCTACAAACACAGGGAGGGTTGGAGGAGGTGCTGAGGGGAATGGCAGGATGAGGGCTGAGCACAGGGTGGTGTTGCTAAGAGAGGAACCTACGCCTGGGACCCCCATCCCAACACATCTGGGCTGCCATGAGCACCATTTGGCCACAGAGGCAACAGCCAGGGACTCCAGGGGCATCTAAGGCCAGCGTGGCATTGCCAAGCAGAAGAAATCCCAAAGGGGCAAGGAGGGCACAGCCACTGGTGTCCCTTGTCCTCGTCCTGAGCACAATTCCCATGGGAGCTCCTGGACAAAAAGCCCTTCCCTGGCCCGGGGGCTTCACGGTAGGGTTCTGACCCTGGTTTCCTGCAGCAGCTGGGGACAGCATGGACGTGGCATCCAAAAGCAGTGGTGCAGAGCAGCTGAACCAGCCCAGTCTGTCTGTCACTGGCCCCAACTTGTACAGCCAGATGTCCCTTGAGATGAACAGTCCAGATGGGCATGGATGCCCTCAGCTGGGAAGGATGTCCCAGGGTGGCTTCGAGGGACCATTCCTGAAGGTGCCCCTGCACAAATGGCATCTGCCTCTGGTGGCCAGTCCCTCCTTGCTGCTGGGAGCCACCACAGCCCCCTTTTGCAATCCCCTGCAAGTCTTGTTTTCCAGGCAGCACAAGGCAAAGGCACTCCAGCCATGCACAGGATGCCCTCTCAGCCCCCAAGGCTGAGTGCTTCTCACATGGGCATCCACCAGCGGGTCTGGCCCCTCCGAGACAGATTTGGCAAGCAGGGAGCTGGATTTGCTGTAGCAGCTGCTGGCACCTGGGGCATTGCCACCTCCAGAGGTAGCTCAGGGTGGTGCTCAGCCCAGGACTCACTCACTCACACTCTGCTGGTCCCTGGGGAGGACCTGGTGGCCCCGGGGCCGTGCGGGTCAAGCCCGCAGCTCACTGAGCCGCTTCTCCTCCTGCAGCTGGATGAGGACATTCCGCTTATTCACCACCTCCACCAGCTGCTTCAGGATGTCCTGCTCAGCCTTCTCATCCTCAGGTGTCTTCAGGGCATCTGTGGGAGCAAGGGGCCAGAGTAGAGGTGGGAAGGCCACAAGCCCTGACCTGCTCCCTGCACCGTGCAAAGGGATCCTCTTCCTGGCACGTGCTGGCACTCACCCTCCTTGTTCATGTAGCTCCGGAGCTTCTCGTCAAGCTGACACTGCTGCTCCTCCAGCTTCAGTTCCTGCACCCTGTGGGAAGGAAAAGGGTGTGCTGGCTACTGGCTTGGCAGGGGATTGGGGTGAGCTGAGCCCCCACAGCGACCAGGGAGCATCCCCCAAGGCTCACGCGATCATCAGGTCCGACTCCTCGCTCATCAGATTGTTCTTCTTCTGGACCAGGTACAGCAGCTGGTTTGTCCACTGTGTCTGCTGGTCAGCCAGGCTCTCTGCAGGACAGGGGAATGGTCAGTGGGATGCAGACCCTCACTGCAGGGTCACAGTGCTCTGTCCACCCTGGCTTTACCATTCTCATCCCGGAGTAACTTCTCCAGCTTGATGCCCTGCTGCTCCAGCTCCCGGAACGTCACCTCGATCTCCTCCAGCCGCCTCTGGATGGCCTGTAAGAGAAGGGCAGCACTCACCTGCAGGCCAGCACCTGCCAGCACGTGGCCACCAGCAGCAGGACAGAAGGGACAGGGCGCAGTGCCACGCTGGGGACCTGGCTCTCCCCTCTGGGGTTACCTGGGCTTTGCAGAACCTCTTCATCTGGGACTCCCTGGCCCGGCGGGCCAATGTGCGCTTCCAGGTGGGGAATTTTTCCTCTTCCCTGGGGTCTGGGTACTGTGAAAGGATGGTGGCACGGGCAGGGGGGTCAGTCCCTGCATCAGGCACCTCCTGCCTTGGCAGCCACAGCTGAGCCAGACCTGATGCCTCTGTGAGAGGAGCAAGAGCCCCAGCTGCCACCTGTGCTGGTGGTGCCACCATCACTTGGGGAAAATCCTCACCAACTCTTTCACGATGCCAAGGCCTGTGTCCTGCTCCTCCTCTTTCCCCTCCTCCTCCTCTTCCTCGCCCTCCTCGCTGTCACTGTCCTCCAAATCTGCCCAAGAAAAGATCTGTTTCAGGCTGGTTCCTCATGAGCAAGATGTGGGATACAGTAGGGTCCAGCAGGGACTGAGAGCTTTGCTCATCTGGACACTCCAGTTTGTACCACCTACCTTTCTCCATGTCAATTTTCTCCTCCTCCTCCTCCTCCTCCTCCCAGGCGCCTTGTCCCCGCCGCAGGGCAGGGAGGGCCTCGGGTGCTGCTGGGAGCCGCAGACGAGCTGGCTTCACTGGAGGCTCGGGCTCTGCTTCACTGGTGAGGTTCAGCGTGGACAGACTGAGCTTCTCCAGCGGTGTAAGGACGATCTTCCTCCTGCCTCCGCTCTCCTCACCCTCCTCTGCTGTCCCTTGGGGTTCTACTCTGGGAACCTCCTCTTCCCTCACATCCCCCCCAGGCTGTGCCAGCAGCTCCTGCTCCTCCATGTCACCAGTATCCGCAGTGTCCTCAACGTCCCCAGGCTCTTCCCCTGCCTGTGGGGCTGCTGGGGTGGGCTCAGGTGGACTGGGTGCCCACTCCATGGGGGACACACTCGACCTTCCAGCATCTGAGGGCGGGTGGGCAGCAGCAGCATCAGCATCCTACAGCAGAGCAGAGCAGAGGGGTGATGCAGCACAGGGCCACACCCAACCACCCCCCTAAACATTCAGCCTTTCCTCCATCACCTACAGGGCTTTAGGGTGATTTACCCCATCAGGCAGCGCTGAAGCCTCATCCCGGGGCAGATCCATGCTGGCTGGATTGGGGTAGTGCAGCGAGCAGTAAAAATTACCTGAGGGGAGAGCAGGGAGGGGGGTGAACTCATACGACAACCTGCAAGGTGGAGAAGCCGTGCCCCAAGCATTCCCTCACCCCAAAAGCTGCCTCACCATCCTCCTCGTCGAAGGCGTAGTCGCCCAGGCGCAGCGTGGCCCCGCAGCGCCGGCACTGGAAGCAGCCGCGGTGGAAGAAGCGTCCCTCGGCGCTGGCCCGCTCCACGATGTACACACGGCGCCCGCAGAAGTAGCAGGCGTCGCTGTTCTCCCCCGTCCTGTCCCTCGGTGGCTGCGGGGGGAGAGGACAGGCAGGGCTGGCAGCGGGGGACTGGCACCCACCCTGCCCCGTGGCTGTGCCAGCAGCCATGGGGGCACGGGCAGGGCTTTGCCCCTCTCGCAGCGCTGGGTCTGGGCGCTCGGGATGGGTGAGGGAGTGGCAATCTTGGCTCCGGAAAACCAGTTGGGTCAGGAAACAGGCAGGGAGGAGCTGGGAACCTGTGGGCGTTCGCTTGTGCAGCTCTGGTCCCGGCCCTTGGCTTGGCCCTGCCAGCCCCTGGTGCCCTCATGGTGCCCCCCTGCCCTGAGCTGGACGCTCCATCCCAAGGTGACACAAGGACCAACCTGCCCTGGGTCCATCACGGTGGCTTGTGGCAGCTCGTGGGCACTGTCCGGAGTGTCTCCATCCAGCCCCGTGTCCAGCTACAAGTGACCCAAGGGCAGGGTCAGCCCCCCACTCTCCCCCCAGGACAGCTGCACCCCAGCAGGGCCCCCTTGGGGCACCTGGGGCAGACCCACCTCAGCGTCCCTGCGGCTCCTCTTGGCCTCACTGTCCTTCTGGGCACCGTCCTGCAAACCCAAAGGGGGCGGTCAGGGTGGGGAGTGTGACAGGGTTTTGGTGTGCCATGAGGGTGTGGCTGGGGGTCCCTCACCTGGGTACGTTTGTGTGCCAGGTTCCGGCTCTTCTGCAGCTTGCTGAGGAAGAGGATGGCCCCTCGTGTGCCAGGGGGAGACAGTGGCTTCTTGCTGACCTCCACCTCTGCACAGGACATGGCCATTTTGGTGGGACCCACCCAGCAAAGAGGAGAGCACCCAGCCAGCCCCAGTGCAGCTCAGGATGGAACAAATCCCCCCAAAATCTCACACCTGGAGAGGTCCCAAAAATTTGATAGAAGTGGCTAAGGTAGGTGATGAGGTCCAGGCAGTCAGGCTCTGTCAAGGTGGCCATCTCAGCACTGGAGAGGACAGGCTGGATGCCCAGCTCCTGCTCTGCCACGTCCAGCACCATCTGGTGGGTCTGAATGGCATCCTGGGGGTCCACAGAGTCAAAGTCCCTGTGGGGAGACACGGCTGCCATCAGGGTGGGCTGGGCAGGGTGGAGGGTTCTGGGGGCTCCCAGGCACTCACAGCAGGTCGGGGCGGAAGCGGTGGATGAGGGCACAGAGGGCCAAGCCGCTGGTCCAGGAGGTGCTGAAGTTGGTCACGGCCACGCCAGGGTATCCAGCTGTGCTGGCCTGGCACCAGCTCAGCAGCTCTTCACACACAGCTCCAGGGGCCACTGGGGAGGCAGAGACAGGGGACACCCCCCCAGTCCACCTCCTGCCTCAGACTTCATGATTTAAGAGGAAATGGATCCCATGGGAGCAACCTGAGACACCCCTCTGTCCCCCATAGCCATCCCCAGCAGTCTCAATGACTATGTTGAGAAAGCATCTGTCAATATTTCATGGCTCAACATCTGTGCAGCCTGGAGGGACACAGCCTCCTCCCCAGAAGGCAGCAGGGGCCTGTGTCCCCACAAGCAGAGGGGATAGAAACCATTGGTGTCACCAGCACAGCCTGCTGGACACAGGCCAGGGTGCAAGAAACAAGGATGGGGAGGAAAACCAGGGCAGTAGCCACTTGGGCATGGGCTGCTGGAAGGGATGGGGCAGGACTGGTTGCTCCTACCCGTGCTGAGCCGGTTGTCGCTCTTCCTCTTGTGGTCCACCTCCACCATGCCCACGAGGTAGAGGTCCTTGACCTGCCAATGGGGACATGCCAGTGGTGGGTCACCACCAATGACACCATGCAGGAAGTGGCCCTGGCAAAGGGGACACCTGGACACCTCCCCAAAACC